TGACAGTTTTAGATTTTGTGGGAAATGTTTTTTTCAAGTCACACGTGGGTGTTTCTCCTTTAGAATGACATTCCTGACAGCAGCGAAGACTCAACAGCTGGAGTCTACATTTAGGAAAACACCGTCATTGTGCAGTTACGTGAATCAAGTACAAATGTAGCTTCTTGTCATTTTATTTTCAACTCTTTATTATATACAGATATGTTTAAACGTCTGTGTTTAGAAACAACGGGCGCTTTAGGGCTGTGATCCCACGAAACATCAGCACATTTAGGATAGAAATGTCTGTGAATGCAGTCTGTGAAGCCGAAATGGAAAAGTGGCTTTGACAGCAGGACAGCAGTCCAAAGCAGACCTCAGCATCATCACAAGCTACTTCAAGAAACACAAGCTGAAGCTGTTGAGCATCACAGCCCGCTGACCTGAAGACCGCTGAAAACCTGCCGACGTCAGTCGCTCTGGACACGCCAGATCATCTAAACTCATCTCAGAACTTGATCTGCAAATCCCTAAACCAAGAACAGAAAGACTCTTTGCTGCTGCAGAAAGTGTCTGTAAGCTGCCACAGGAGGAGTTTGTGAGCGCTGACTGACTTCTGCCACAGCGACTGCACCAGAGTAACCACAGAAGACATCCGGGCCTCCTCCCTCACTGAACCCAGTCTGTGTCTGTGCACATATTCTGTGTTTCAGAGTTTAACTGTGAAACTCGTGGCCGGCTGGTTAAAGTGTGCACCACGTCACCACAGTGTCCACAGAGCTGGACTTTAAAGGAAACTGTGTTCTTCCAACGTGAACATACAGTTAGGATGTATCCTGCCCCCTATTGTGCAGCTCAGTCGGACCACAGTAAGAACAAACACATAGAAAATGATACACCCAGTCAGAGGCATTGGAGGCTAATTAACATCCTTCTAATGAGTGCAAAGCATCACACTTTAGCTAAATGCAAACAACTTGTGAAAAAAACACTTCAGAGTACTTTAAACACTTGCATATGGTACTTCTGTGCCATTTGAAATTAAAAAAAAATGTTCACAAAAAAAATCAAAACTATTGCTGCCACATTATCTGAAAAATCCTATAAATTTATGAACTGGTGACATGAAAACACGACCAGTTTTGTTCCTAAAGGCTCCTTTCTTTGCAGGACAAAAATGATTCCTTGCATAAAAGCAAAACTCTAAAAGCAAAATCATTGGACTGATTGGCTGTCTGGACTGGTTTACTCATGAAACAGTGACTTTCTGTGGAAACAATCAACAGTGTCGGCTCGAAAACGTTCATCATGTCTTCTTACTGATAATATAATGTTCAGGTTCTCTGTTCAGACATGTAGAGTGTGCTTTTATTACCTGACAGTCTTCAGAGATGAGGGTCTGCTGGGCTCACCACCACATACCATTCGGTGTGGGCGTGGCTTGCCCGGCGGATCTGGCGGCTCTGCTGGACCTGCCACAGGTGCCGGCTGTCAAAATCTGCCGGCTGACACGTCACCCGCTGTCAGTGTCAGCTCAGAAGAAGGCGAGAGTTTTCGCCGAAACTGTCAGGTAATAAAAGCACACTCCACATGTCTGAACAGAGAACCTGAACATTATATAATCAACGGTGTTGTTCTGCCGAGAACAAAACATTCAACACTAATAAACCTACAATAAGATCAGAATGGTTCCTCTTATTTCCCTCTTCATACACCGGCTAAACATGAACAGGCTTGTAGGTGTCTTCCAGAGGCCTGCTGTCAGACCTAGAAAAGTATCAGGCAACAGAATGGTGACATTTCAGAAAGATCAACCTGGACCATGTCCTTGCACTAAGCCTGGCTGAGGGCGCATTGTTAGGCCTCCGTGACTGAACAGCCTCTCCACTGGTGCACTGGTGGCAGGAACAGCGAGCGCTCTCATAGCCACAAGACAGAGCCTCGGGAAGACGTTGGCATGCCTCTTCCACAAACCTCGTCAGACATCAGAGAGTTTCCCCCCAAAAAAAAGAAAGGAAAGGAAAAAAGAAAACATGATTGTTCACGGTCCCAAAACACGAGTCCAAGTCGAGTCTGAAGTCTCTCTGCGTGCGACTCGAGTCCACATCTCTGATCCACATCAACTGAACATATACCTGCAGGAGCTGTTGAACGCTTTAGAAGATGTATTCATGTCACACCAGCTGATTGGTTTTATTCACCTGGATGTTCTTCCCTCAGCATATATACAAACAACTACTTCATCACCAGATTGAGCACCGAGCCAGAGGTCCCCACATCATGATGCTGCCGCCACCATGCTTCACCACGGGGATGGTGTGTTTATGATGATGTGCAGAGTTTAATGTCTGCCAAACACAGCGTCTAGTCTGATGACCAAAAGGCTCAATTCTGGTCTCCTCAGACCACAGAACCTTTTTCCAGGTGACTTCAGAGTCTCCAAGTGTCTTCTAGTGAACTCTAGTCCAGATTTAACTTGAGTTTTATTCAACAGTGGATTTTTATTCGTTGTTCTCCCGTCAAGCTTTGACTGGTGAAGAACAAGAATCAGTTGTTCTCTGCACAGCCTCTCATCTCAGCCACTGAAGCTGGTAACTCCTTCAGAGGAGTCGTAGGGGTCTTGGTGGCCTCCCTCACTCATCTTACATACAGACTTATTTTACATCTGATATTTTTTCAAGTCTATTATCCTGTCTTTGATTCAGTGTTGTAAACCAATAAACATGGATAAGGTTTATAGACCCTGTGTATCTGTGGTCAAAGGTTCTCCGTGGTGTGATGGAGACCTTTGAATCTGGGTGGAACCACACTGTAAAAAACATCCAGCGACAAAACAAACTGTGACAATCTGGCAGCAAAGGTGTCAGAAAAAACCATTAGAATTCAGTGAAATAATGAATTTCAGAATCAAAAGCATGTTGAGCAGGTGAGAGTGGACGAAAGCTGTGCTGAGCTTTGTTGCACCAAGTTCCTACTGTAGGGTCTGTGTTCTAATTACTGTACATCTAAACTGTTCCTTGTTAATCTCACACTTAGAGGTGATGTAATTACTATCAGGTGATATAACTCTTGATGATGTGACATGGATTCATGATATCTGGTGTTCCTACTGGGTGTTCAAGGAGTCCTCTTCTGCACCAATCAAAGGCTGACATCAGGCCACGTTTTGCGGCGCTAGCTGTGGATGTTTTGGTCGAGGCTGCACCGACCACCTGGCTGGCTCAACCGCTACCACCGCCTTTGTTTGGAACATGACCGAGTCCCTGAGGCGACGAGCCGACGCCGCGTCCCTGCTGCAATATCACTTATTTCAGATGTTTCAGGCAGAAGTCAATAAAAGTCCACCGCAATCATCTCCACCGGTAAAATGAAACCTGTCTCCCTCAAGTCCAGGTCTGTGGATGATCCAGAATAACCAGCGTGTTATGAAATGTGACGCTTTTAGCTCAAGTAATATGGAATAAAATGAGAGTTTTAATATCTGAAAAATGAGCTCCTGGACCTCTGAAGACCCATTTTTTGCTTTTGTATGCAGAACTAAAAAAGAAAAAGATGTTTGATTTTCCTGCTACCGAGCTGTTCAGTCGTTCTTGTCTTTTGTGAACATGGGACGATGGATTCACAAACCGGTGACAAATGAAAGGAAACAAACACATAAAGAGTCCCAGTCAGGTGTCCAACATGCAACCAGATCTCCTCAACGTGGGGCTGAATTGTTCGGGTTTCTCCTTTAATGTGTCGCCCATCTCATAGCTCTGTGCGCATCTGGTTTCAAAGACTTCATCTGGTTTTCAGAAATCCGTCTCAGTCCAGGTCTCCACTGCGACAGTTCAGTCAGTTTGGGATCTGGTTCCTTTGCTCTTCCAGCTGAACACTGATTGAACCTGCTGCCCCGTTTAAAAGCACACGTCTTTTACTTTGTGAAGCCAAACTCCTCGTATGTGTTCGTATGTTTCGCCAAAAGAGCCGATTATAAAGCAAAGTTGTTATTTTCACTGTTCGCTGTGTGGATTCTTTTAACAACAAACAGAGTAGTTCTGATTCCTGACCTGGGTCATCGTCCATTTGGACCCCAA